GGGGAAGGAAAGAGAAGGGGTCTGAGAGGTATTATGATTGGCACACATGGTGTGGGGGGTATCATGGGGAAGACTAGACAAGTAGGGACTCTGTGGCATCTTACTATACTGTTGGGCAGTGACTACACTGGGGTATGGGGGGACATGATAACGTGGGTGAATGTAGTAACCACATTGTTTTTTCATGTCATAAGAGTGTATATCAATAATACCTTAATAAAAAAAAATTTAATGTAAAAAAAAAAGATCCTGTAGGCAGTGGTGAGAGAATGGCCTGGAAGGAAGAAATAGCAGCGAGAAGACTGTTGAAGAGTCCAGGCTAGAGCTGAGGAGGCCTGCTCGAAAGCAGAGCTGTGGGATGAGGACGGCTGCCAGAAGGTGGGCTGTGCAGGGTGCAGTGACTGAATGGACGGGGGCAGGTGCCAAGGGTGAGCAGCCTCAGAATTTCTGGCCTGGGTGATTGGACCACCAGCTACTGCTGCCATCAGCTAAGGCCAGAAATGCAGGAGGATGAGCAGCAGATTGCGTAGGAAGGTGAGGAGCAGCGATTTGGAATTGTTGAAAATGAGATGCCTGAGGGACAACCAGAAGGAGATGCTGAGAGGCCGCTCACCAGGTCTGCAGCCTAGGAGAGGTCTGGACTGGAAGTAGAGACTTAGGAACAGAGAAGGTAACAGAAGTCAAAGGAAGACTTGTTAGCTGGGGAGAGATGGTGTGCAGAGAAGACAGAGCTAAAACAGCCTTGCAGAGCGAGCCTATCAGCAAAGAGTCAAAGAGGAAATTGCCAGAGAGATAGGAGGCAAACCGAGAGAATGTGGTTCAGTGTGGGGCAGAAGGGACACAGAACAGAGTCCCTGCTTCGATGTTCATGAATGAGTAGGGAGTCAGGCAGCAGAACGCATTTCAGCCCACTGCAGTGAGGGCTGTGTCAGGATAAGCACCAAGTACCTGCACTTGTAAGGGCACCTGGTCCAGCCTTGGGGTATAACAGAAGCCCCCCATTCCCACCCAGCTCAGCTTTCCCAAGCCTGTACTGAGGAAGGAAGGAGCCCCAGCACTGTCACCGAAACACTGAGCAGGACTAATGCTGGTCACTTCCCAGCTCACCCACAGCCTGAAAGACTGGCCCCCAGGGAACCCTCCCTTCAAGGATGGAAGCAGTGGGAAAGCAGCCCCTGTATCTTGGGGACAGCACATATGCCTCACCCAGGATGTCTGCGCTCCTCTTTCCCTGCCTTGAGGTGGGAAAGGCAAGGCCAGGATGCCAGGGACATTCTTGAGCTTTTGCCCTTAGCTCTCTGCTTATGGGTTACAGCATACCACAGTCTCCTGAAGGCAGTTCTGATTTTGCATGTGTGACATGCCCAAGTGTGTGCATGTGACACTGCATGTTTGCAGAGCTCATCCCTGAGAACTGAGTACACACACTGCTCTACTGGCCGGAGCAATAACCAGTGGCAATTTCATTCCAAGAGATCAGAGCTCTGCTTATAACTGGGCCTGAGGATGGGTCCCAGGTGGATGTGGAGTGCAGGTGCAATGTATGAATGACCCAGAGAGTGACTGTCACAGTGTTCATGCCTCCTTCTCCTCAGAGTCCTTGGCAATAAAGATGTGTCCCAAGGAGGTGGCTGTCAGTGTCCCACCTCCCAGCTCAGGGTCAGCATTACCTCTCAAACCCGTGCAGCAGCAGACCAGCCTTGGCCCTCAGAGGCAAAAGAGCACTGCCATTGCATTAGCTTGAGAAGCAAAGGCTGGCCCTGAGTCAGGCCCACACCACCAGGAAGAGGGACATGCTTGAAGGGGATTGGTTACAGGCTGAGGCTGGGGCAGACAGAGCCTACGGGCTGAGGTCAGTGACCAATCCCTGAGCCATGTTCTCTGGCCTGGCAGGAGCTGTGCTTTGTCTGCAGCCCAGAGGACTTCCCCGGTAGGTCTCCCTCTCCCCAAACCTGTCCCAGTTGCTTCTCTCCAGTGAGGACCAAAGGGTGTAAACTGAATTTAGCAGAACTCTGAGAAAATTTTATTTAGGGAAAGAAAATTAGACAAAGCCTCATTTATCCAGCACTGTTCATATGACCTCAGTAGCACAGTGCAGAGGGAAGGGCATGGGCTCTGGGGGCACAGTTTGGGTCTCAGCTCTGTTATTTTCCAGCTATGAAACTGGAATGAGTTATTTAACCCCTCTGGGCCTCTGTTTCTTTGTAGGGGTTGTGAGGATTCAGGAATTTAGCAAGGACATACTGAACAACTCTTTGCTATGACTTAACACTGTTCTAGGACCCAGCGGGAACAAGACCCAGCCTCTGCCCTCCTGGAGTGACCATCTAGTGGGCAGAGTGAGTGGTGCCCAGAAGGCACGAAGCAGGGTACCCGTGCTGGCTACATCCACTGCTGCCCCAGCAGGCCTCTCAGTGAGGCCCTGAGCCTGGCCCTTGTCCTAACTGTAGAGTGCCATCTACAGTGATGGTCTGAGGTTTGCTGAGCGGTTGGAGCTCCTTGCCCTTGAATTGAATGGCCCCCGACAGCTATGCTTTTTTCAGTTCTTTTGTCTCTTCCCTCTGCTGTTGCCCCTTTTCTCTTTCAGTAGTGTGTCTGTCTCTGATATAGATGCTTTCATCTGTGTCACCTCTTCAAAGAGCTGTAGATTCCAAGGAAAATTCCTAAGCTGTTTAAAGAAGGAGACTTATTTTCTGTACCTCTATGTCAGACCAAAGGATGGCTTTAAAGAAGGAGAGATTTTACGTTTTAATTCATTTCAGTCATTTTGTTCCAACAAATATATATTAAGTGGCTGCTACAGTAATTACAGTTGAGAACATTTGCAGAGTTTGGTTAATTAAGGATCTTTCACCAAAATGACTGTAGGTAGCCCTTACAGTGACCCTGGAAAATACCCTCCTATGAACCCGTACATATGAAGTGTGGGCTTCCCCTCATCATGACACTTAACCTACTGAGTTGTCATTGCTGGTTTCCTGAGTGTCACTCCTGCTCTAGACCAGGAACATGTTGAAGGTTCAACCAGTCCCCGTGCGCCCACACAGAGCCTGGCTGAGAGTGGGCCTCCAAGAAAGTGTACTGGATGGGTGCATGTGTGGTCAGTCAGGCTGACTTCCAGGGTGCCAGGGATGTATCGGGTGCCCTACTGATGACAGACAGCAGGGGCAGCCTTGCCTGGGGGCCCTCACAATAGGTAGAGCAGTTACAGCCCAGGGCAGTGAGCCCTGCAGCTGTGTGAGAACCGCGCTAAGAGAGCCCAGAGTGCCGAGCAGCTGCCTCAGCCAGGGGCGAGGGGGGGGCACAGAGAGACCGCCCGCAAGACTACCCAGGCTTGCAGCTCCCTGACTGTGCTCACTGCTCCTTCCCAGGGCCGGCTGACAGACGGAAAGGGGAAGACCATTGACTGCAAGGACGCCATCTTCATCATGACCTCCAATGTGGCCAGTGACGAGATTGCACAGCACGCCCTACAGCTGAGGCAGGAAGCGCTGGAGATGAGCCATAACCGTATCGCCGAGAACCTTGGTATGGCACATGGCCCAAGCTGTCTGGACAGCTGGGCGAGTGCCCAGACCACCAGCACATCTCCTGTGGGCTAGGATGGCACTGGAGTCTCAGGCCCAGGGGAGGGTCCTGGTGGGCAGCTGTGTCCAGCAGCTGATGCTGACCAAGCACCAAACCAGATAGTGGAGGGAGGAAGACAGAGACAGTGCCCCACTTCCTTGAGAGAGCCCTAGTCCCTTGGGTGACAGGAGGGTTCCAGACAGAGCAGTGGACAGAGCCACCCTGGGGTGAGGGGTCAGGAAGAGGCCAGGGCCTCAGGGTACTAAAGAAGATAAACATTCAAAAGGTAAAAATGCTTCGGAGCAATGAGGGCACAGCAGATCAGAAACTCTATAGACATGGCCATTTTTCAGCCAGGGAGGCTTCCTGTGTAGGTACCAGAAGAGTGGCCCTGGAGAGAGCCAGACAGGAGGGGCATTTCAGGCAGGAGGTCACGTCTGTCATCTTTCCATCTGGAAGTGAACCCTCCAGCTGCCTTCTCCCAAGTTAGAACTCAGTCTTGGTCCTTACTGTTCCTCTCCGCTCCCCTCCCTCACATACCTCCTACCCTAAGGAACCCCAGGCTCTGGTAGCTATAGCACATGGGAGCCCGAAGGGCCTCAGAAGGTGCCCAGGGCCGTCCTCTCATTGTTTAGGTGAAGAGACCTCGTCAAGGCCCAGAGAGCCTGAGACCTTGGCCGGGGTCACACAGACTGTCAGGGGCAGGACCAGAGCTCTTTTCGTGGATAGCGCCAAGAGGCAGACACAGTCCCAAAGCTCCCTAGATGTGGGAAGTAGACAACATGATTCTGTCTCCACAGGGGATGTCCAGATCAGTGACAAAATCACCATTTCAAAAAACTTCAAGGAGAATGTCATTCGCCCCATCCTTAAAGTAAGAAGCCTTTGTCCCTCCTGCTGGAGCCTTGGGCGAGGGTGTCCCCTTAGCCACCCTAAATATATGGAGATCCCTTCTGTCTTCCCCTTGGGGGCCGCAGAGCTTGCCCCACCCCTAACCTGGCCCTGCAGGCTCACTTTCGGAGGGATGAGTTTCTGGGACGAATCAACGAGATCGTCTACTTCCTCCCCTTCTGCCACGCGGAGCTCATCCAGCTGGTCAACAAAGAACTGAACTTCTGGGCCAAGAGAGTAAGAGCGGGGACTCACTGTGGTTGGGCATAGGCCATCTGCCCACTGGGCTGGGTGTGCACCCCACACACCAAGGTGAAGCACAGTGGTGTAGGCCAGTGGCCCCAGGGGGCACACAGGTGTTCACAGGCCCAGGCCTCAAGCCACAGTGGTGAGAGATGGAAAGCCTGGGCCACATGTAGATATGCTCCTATCTGACCTGTCTCAGGCCAAGCAAAGGCACAACATCACCCTGCTGTGGGACCGCGAGGTGGCAGATGTGTTGGTTGACGGCTACAATGTGCACTATGGTGCCCGCTCCATCAAACATGAGGTGAGCGCAGGAGCCTGAGACAAGTTAGGCCCCTCCGTACCTCCCTTTCATTGCCCCCAGACCCAGTCCTTGGGCTCCCTACCTGGGATAGTCTGTACCCAGAGCAGATGCCTCTTCTTAACCCAAACCACAAGATGACCAAGTAAAAGCCCTGTCCTAGAGGGTAACTGAGTGTGAACTCCGACCAGGAGTGGGGAACTAAGTTGGGAATCTCAGAAACTGACATCATTGGGTCTTTAGCACAGTCCGGCAAGCTATGTGTTGTTAGCCCCACTTTGCAGATGAGAAAACTGAGGCTCAGAGATGTCTAACTTGCCTAACAATAAGTGATAGAGCCTGGCCTCCAGGCTGAGGACACGGGCTGGCCCAGGCCATGGTAGTGATGACACTTGACCTGCCACCTGCAGGTGGAACGCCGCGTGGTGAACCAGCTGGCAGCTGCCTATGAACAGGACCTGCTGCCTGGGGGCTGTACTCTGCGCATTACCGTGGATGACTCAGACAAGCAGCTACTCAAAAGCCCTGAACTGCCCTTGCTGCAGGCTGAGAAGCGTGCACCCAAGCTGCGGCTGGAGATCGTCGATAAGGACAGCAAGACCCGCAAGCTGGACATCCAGGCACCACTACACCCTGAAAAGGTGTGCCTCACCCTCTAGCTTCTACCTACCTGCCCATACCTGCCCTCAGTATCCAATAAAGGCCCTGTGGCTGTGGCACAGCAACTGACCTATCTTCCCCTCATGCTTCCTCCTCCTCTCCATCCAGCCTCAGGCCTGCTTACCTCCTTAGCCCCGAAGGCCCAAGCAGCAGTTTTGCCCTCCCCTGACTCATTTGTTGCAGGCCCAAAACGTGCTAATAAGTCTCCGGGAGCAGAGCTGCCTCCCCACCGATTAAGGCAGGGAGGAGAGGGCAGTCCCTTGTATCTGTCCTGCAGCATGATCCCCATGCTCCATAGTCTCTGAAAATTTGCCATGTTACCAGAAGGTTCAGAAGTATGGCACCTAAGAACATAACTGACTGGAAGAACACAGGGACCAGTCTGTGACCTGCCACGCTTGCTGGCCCTCGTGCATCTGAGTCCCCAGAATGTGTCCACAGAGAGTGGAGAAATGCAGAGGCCTGCATGCAGAGATTCTGCTTGAGGCTATGGCTTCCTCTTTTTCATACCCTAAAATTCTAAGGGGAAGGGACCCATAGAACCCTTTTCCCCTTCCACCGCCATATCATAGCTACTGTTCTTCCTCACCCACATGTTCTGGGATCAGGCCAGACCAAGTTTCTCCAGCCTTGGAACTAGGCTGGTGGTCAGACACCTCTGTGAGGGAGGCTGACTGGGTCACTCCCCTGCCCTACTCTGGGACTGGATAATAGTATCAAATGACCAAGCAAGCTCAGCTCTACAGGGCCTCCTTCAGGATGCCAAAAACATACACACTGGGGAGCTGTAGGGGGACAGATCATGGGGTCAGGCTTTGCCCAAGTGGCCATGGAGTGTGCCTCAGCCCTGTCTATACTATTGTCTCAGCTGAGTTAGCCTGGAATAAACAGCTGCCCCATGCAGTCCATATCAAGTCACAAAGCAGAGGATCTGCATTCCATCCCCCAGGGCATTCCACAGTCCAGCCGTGTTTCAACCTCAGCTTAGCAGGGCACATCAAGGCCTGGTGTATACGTGCGCACCATCTGTAGTAGCTACCATTGATGACCACCCATCACCTGCCCCCTGTAGGGCCATTTTGGAATCCTCTTTTGGTGTTAACTAATCTCTCTCAGGAAGCAGAAAATGGGGGCCGAAATAAGTCCCCTGGTTGTGCAAGAATGTAATAACAATATCGTGGGTATGAGGCAGTCAGAAGCCAGGACGTGGACTCTGCAGATGCTCTAACAACCACTCTCTAGAGAGGCTAGATGGTGATTGTAGTCTAGTGATTATGTCTGCTGCTTCCTACCTCAGTAATAGCTATTCTGTTATTATTATTACTTCTTGTTTTTAAATAATTATAGACACAGAAAACAGCAAAACAGTAGAGTCCCCATTACCCTTCACCGGGCTTCTAATTCTAACATTTTACAAAACTGTAGTACAGTTATTAAAACCAGGAAATTAACATTAATACGGTACTACTGTCTAATCTATAGACATTCAGATTTTACCAGCTTTCCTGCTGACATCCTTTTTCTGGTCCAGGATCCCACCTTGCTTTTTGTTGTAACGTTTCCTTCGTCAGCTTCAGGCTGTAACAGTTCCTCCATCTTTCTTTACCTTTCATGACTTTGACACTTTTGAAATGCCCAGGACAGTTATTCTGTAGACTGTCCCTCAGTTTGGGTTTGCCTGCTGTTTTCAAATGATCAGACTGAGGGTCTGCGTTTTTGGCATTCAAATGATCAGACTGAGGGTCTGTGTTTTTGGCAGGACTACCCTAGTAGTGGTGCTTGTGCTTTCTCAGTGTCTCACAGTGGAGGTGGTGTTAGCTTTGATCACCTGCCTGAGGCGGTGCACACCAGCTTTCTCCACTGTGTAATTACTAATTTCCTCTTTAAAATGAATAAGAATCTTGTCGGGAGATACATTGAAGCTGTGCAAATGTCTAATATATCCTTAGCATTTTTGCACTGATTTTAGCATCCATCAGTAGTTCTTGCTTTCAGGTATTAATGTTGTGGTTGCCTAATGATGACTTTCTGTTTCCCTATTCCATCTGTATTTATTAATCAGTATTCTACTGTAAGGAAGAGCTGTCTCTTTCTAACCTTTTATTTATTCACTAATTTATTTATAGCAGTATAAACTGATGGATATTTGTTTTATTTTATGGGTAATAATCTAATATTAACAGTGTCTTTTATTGCTCATATTGGCCTAGGTTGGCCATTGGGAACTCTTTCAGGTTGGCTGCTATATTGTTTCAACATTGCCCACCCCGACCCCCATTTCTATTTTTAATTTTTTTAGCGCTTCCTTACTTTCTAGTACCACAGGATGTTCCAAGCTCACTCATATTTTCCCTGTCTCAGCCCTGTTAGCAGCCCTTTCTCCAAAGAGCTCCTGGTTCCATTTGCTCAAGAATGGTACTTAGAAACCAAGATCTGGGCACTAGGTGTATTCACTGCTGCTCAAGTGTCATTGCTTCTAGGCCCTTTCAGCACACAGAGCTAGGAAATATATGTATGTATGTTAACACATATATCATACACATTTGAATTTATTATTGTATTTATCCATGTGTATTATTAAAAACCGTAAATTCATATTGATACCTACAATTCCAATGCGATACCATAATTTGTGACTGTCATTATTATGACTTTACTATTTTTTTCCTGCTTCTTCCTCTCCTACTATCCTTGTTTCTTCTCCTTTCACTCTGCTATTCAGACTTCCCTTAGAGGCCCTAATTAAGTCAGTGGCCATCCTGTATGAAACATTCCTATTGAATAAAGTTCATACAACTGGCTGTCAGTCCCTTGTTCAGTCATCTATGGCCAGTAAGAGCAGGCATATAACTCAAAACCAGATAACTTTTAATGCAAGAAGATCCAACAGCCACCTTCCTGAAAGGAGGTAACGGACAGGGTAGACCCTCAGATTCTGAGGAACTTAAATATCACTGCTTCTAGGGATTCTTAGCTAGACCTCCTAGATGATACAGGAATTGTACTTGCATGGCATCCTAGGTAAACACCCAGCTCACTTACATTACTTGTTCTAGTCTCTCTTTGTCACTCTTAGAATGTAAGCTCTAAGAGAGCAGATAACCAATTGTTCAGCTCACTCTCCTATTTATAGAACCTGGCACAGTGCCAGCACATGATGGATGCTCCAGGTATTTGGGTGGGTGGGTGGGCATTACAGCAAACACAAATCTTCACAGTGGGCCCCAGGACAAAAGTAGTATCACTTGTTCACTGAGTACCCATTTATTTGTCTTGTGCTTATGGCCAGGCAATAAGACTTGCCAGAGTTGGGCCCTGAGCAAATGAAGCAAAGTAAGACTCAGATACCTTAATGAGTGAGTATCCTGGTGTGCATGTGGCTAGACTTAGAAATGAAAATGAAACACCTTTATTGTTTTAAAAGAAAAACTCAGATACGTAGTGATTGTTTTAGAAATTTAGAAAAGAGTGCATTTAAACCATAAGAAAACAGAAAATGGTCTGTATGATAAACCTGAAGTCAATGAAGCAGGAAGCCAAAAAAAGCAGGGCAGGGGAGAAAGAATAAATAGAAAAATTATTCTTTGAAAACACGAACAAAATAGATGAAACCTTCTCAGCCTGATGAAGGGAAAAGAAGAAAAAAATACAAGATTAAGAATGAGAGATCAGACAACTAACTATATATGAAAAAATTTTAAGTAAATTTAGAACTCCATGCAACAGGTTTGAAAACAGAGCAAACAGATAATTTCCTAGCAAGCACTGACCCAAGACATAGTTTGACTAGATCAGTTAATTACTGAAGAAATTGGGAAGGTGATTAAAAATTATCCTTTTAAAATATTGTGTTCTTTTATTTGAACTTTTTATTGAAATATATATGGAAAAGTGCACAAATCACAAGTATACAGCTCAGCAAATTATCACAAAGCAAACACCATTGAAGCTATAACCAGTCCAAACAATAGATGAATTGTAACTTTTAATTATTATATAAACTGCTTCAGACAATGGAAAAAAATGGGAAGATGCTTGGTTGATTTATTTTTTGGTATCATTAATGTACAATTACATGAGCAACATTATGGTTACTAGACTCCCCCATTATCAAGTCCCCACCACATATCCCATTACAGTCACTGTCCATCAGTGTAGTAAGATGCTATAGAGTCACTACTTGTCTTCTCTGTGTTATACTGCCTTCCCTGTGTCCCCCCAATACATTATGTGTGCTATGCTTGATTGATTTTTAAGGGCCAGTGTAAGATTAATACTCAAACATGATAAGGTGCCAAAAAGAATGCCGTAGCTTAATCTCACCTATGAGTATAGATACAAAAACTCCAAATAATGAAAAGTTAATTGTACACTGTGATAACTTAAAGTTTATTTCAGCAGTAGAAGTCTCAGTATCAGGAAATTTATTAATATAATCTACCACATTGAGATCATAAAGATTACTTAACTGTCTATAGACTAATATTAATTTTCTTTGATATTTCTTATATGACTACATAGGAGAATGGTCCTTATTTTTAGAAAATATACACTGAAGTACTTAGAGGTTAAAGGTAAAGACAACTGCAAATGTGTACAAACATATATGTATACACACTCATACACATACATATGTACACACACAGAGTGATGAGACAAAAGTAACATTTGGGAACTCTGAGTGAATGACATATAGGAATTCTTTGTATAGTTTTTGCAACTTTTCTATAAGTCTAAAATTATTTCAGTTTCTTTAAGCGAAAGGAAATAGAACATTTTGTCAGTATATGCTTAAAAAGCATTGGATAAAGTTTTACAGCTTTATTATGATTTTATAAAAGTAAAGCTCTAAGTAGAAGAAACTTCATCAAAAATTAATAACAAACATTTTAAATTGTAAATATAGAGTTATTTCTGCTAAAGTGTGCAATAAGGCAAAGATTCAACATTAATTTGAAAATTTAGGTTAAAGCAATTAGGCAAGAAAACTAAATAATTGATATAAATATTGAAGAATAATTACCTTGTTTTGCTGATATGTGACTGAATCTAGGTGACCCAAAAGGCTGTAGTCAAACTATCAGCATTAATAAGGAAATTTGGTAAATTTCTGAATAAAAGATAAATGTATAAAAATCAATAGTTTTTTTCTATTCTAGCAATAATTAACTAGAAACAATAGCAAAGGAAAAGCATTCCATTCCCAATTACAACAAATAGGTGTATATACTTCATATACATAAAATGCCTCTGGAAGAGAGAGGAATTGGGTAAAGAGAGGGTATAGCAATGGGAAGGAAAATTCCTTATATTCATTTTTATACTTTTAAATCAAATTTTGAGCTGTATTAATGTGTTACCTATTCAAAATTATTAAGTAGACTAATGGGGTATGTTGTGGGGACTTGATAACAGAGGGGAATGTAGTAACCACAATGTTGCTCATGTGAAACCTGAGCATAAGATTGTATATCAATGATACCTTAATACAAAAAAATTATTAAGTAAATTTAATAAAAGAAAATCATATTGAAAGGCTTAAAACAAGATGTGACAAATGAAGATATATCAGGTTCTTGAAAGGATGACTTAATATTAATATATTAAAATGCCAATTCTTAAATTAATATACAACTCAGTACAAACCTAATTAGACTCAACAGCATTTTTAATTTAATAAAACTAACTAGTCATATCCAGAAGTAAAGCCATACAGAGTTATTGTTTTCTGGATCTAGGCTTTCAGGAGATAGAAGTTAGTCCTCCTGTCTAGTCAGTTACTCCTGCTAGTCAGTTAACTGACTCCTGTTAGTCTAGTCTTCCTGTTAGTTACTACAGCCCCATCTTGATAGTATGCAAGCTAGACAATTAGTAAATTTAATTACCATCAACACCCTAAAGAATCATGAGGGAAAGCAAAGAGAAGAGCTATTTTCTGTGACTGGAATGTAGAGAACTGTGTAAGAGTGTGGAGAACTGTATATGAGTGTGGAGAAGAGGAGAAAATGGTAGAAAATGAATCTAGAGAGGCAAGTTTCCTAATTACATAGTACCTTGAATGCCGTGCTAAGGGAATGAAATGACCACGTTTGTGTTTTAAAAAGACCCTTTGATTGCATTATGCCGAATGATTTGAGGTGATTTCTGCCAATATATTACAGAGAATTTGCAGGCAAACTCCCTTTCTACCTCAAACATAGAAATATGGAATAATATGTAACAACAACAAAAAAAAAGTTTAACACACAAGTGGGCTTGAAACTAAAAATGGTAATCACCAGGGTGCCAGAAAGGAATGGGAACTCAAAAGTCAGAGGGTATGTCAAAGTAGAGGTGGGGAGTTCATAGAGACTTGGAAACAACATATAGGCCTCAAGCCTGAGTGCTAGGATTTCAGCATTGAGGTAGGAGTCTTAGAGGACACTTCCTTGGGAACTGAAGATGAGAAAACACTGTTCATTGCCCTGGAAATCATAGAGAAGTAAAATCTACCATCACTCTGGGATGTAAGTAGAATGAAGAAACTATGAAGAAACTAATACATTTGCTGTTTATAAGAGGTGGTTCCAATTCACAATACCCAAACATTACTGGGACTTCAAGATGAAAGACTTAAAAAAAAAAGGTCCATTGAAGCCTACAAGATCCCATAGAGGCAAACACAAAACATTTGTTCTGTAAGGATATTCCCATAATCAAGTTTTCAAAAAGGAACCCATGGAAAAAAAAATTCTATTGAAAATGAGCTTACAAGGAAAACTTAACAAAAAAAGGGGCGGGGGGGAATCACTGTGAAGGAAAGAAAAGTCAGCAAGTGTAATGAATGGGAAAATTTGCACTCGAAGAATTGTAATAAAAGATTCTGAATTTAAAAGAAGTATTTTTAAATGTACAGGGAAATAAACGAAAGACTTAAAACCACAAGGCAAGAAAGGACAGCATGAAAAAAAGTAGGTGAATATGAAAAAGAACCTTCATTCTAGGCGGTTTCCTCAGATTTATTTCCATGATTTTTACATTTCAACAATTTTCTCTATTGCGATCCTAGTTGATTTAGGTATTAGATACCAGGACCACCATGGACTCAGATTTCTAAAGAGCAAAGATTTGGGACACCCACCATGCAAAGAACCCTAATGATCTAAAGAGCTGACCTAGAACAAGGGGAATATAGAATGGGTAGGGGAGAAGGGAAGTCACCAGTATGCCACCCCCAGAGCCATGATCAGTTGCAGAAATAAGGACCACAATTTGCTATTTGTTCACCATGCTCTTAAGAGTCATTCAGGTCTAATCCCACTATGCCTCACCGGTTTGTCACAGTATCCCGAGTCTGAACCTCAATAGTTATCCACCATCACATCACATACTGCTCCCCTTCTCACCACTTCCACTGCACTGCCACACTTCCTTCTAAAATCAGCAAATTCTTTATAAGCACCTTCTTCTCTTCACCTTAACTGTCCCCTGAAGACTTGGCTTACTCTAGCTTTCCCTTAAGATGCTTCTCCCCAAATTGCCCTCTTAGGCAGAGGCTGATTTATAGTCCAACTGAGGAAGTAAGCCCCCCACTGCTTCTCTGTGATTCTTTCTCATCCTTCCTCCCAACGTTTTTTAATTAAGCAGTTTGACTATTCTGGCCCTTCTGGTCATTGCCCTATTTACAGAACTCTCAGTGACTATCCCTCATACAAGAAATATTTTAGTGCCCTATTACTTTCTCTCTTTCCCAACACATGCCATCGTTCTTGGTGGGTTCAACTTTAATGACTTACCCAACACCCCGCTTTCCTCACATTTAGTGAT